CGCAGGGCCACCGCGTCGGTCACTGGAGAGTGGGCACTCGCATCAGTCCCTGCCCCACCCACCCGAGAGGACCCTCAGGGACTCCGGTCCCGACCCCCGTAGATCCCTCATTCCCAGCCGCCTCCCCGCTTCCCCAAAGGATGCCCACGTCCGGGCCCCGCTCCCTCCCGTCCGCAACAACCGCTCGGCCCGACGGGCTCCCCCGAACGGCCCCTCGCAGACCTGAGTAGCCGTCCAGCCAGAGGCGATACACGTCCTCGTCGATGAGGGTCGTGTTCCCCACGAAGATGTCCAGCTCACTGGTCATGGCGAGGCCCGGGGCCGCAGCGCCCCGAGCAGGAGCGAGCACCGCCCGCGCCGGGCGCGCCGCCGCCGGGTCACTTCCAGGAGCGCCGAGATTCCGTTCCGGACACTCGGAGCCGGCGGCGAGGGACCACTTCCGGGACACAGCCGGTAGGGGCGGGGCGGAGGCGGTGAAGGAGGAGGCGGAGGCCTGCGCGGAGGACTAGCCCCTCCCACCGCCGGGAGAGGGAGGACCCGGGGAGTCCCAGGCTCCGGGATCCTCCCAAGTCACCCATCGCCGTTTGCTGGAGGGCGTCGGGAGTGCCTCGATGGTCTCGCCATTCCTCGCAACTGCTCCCCTCACTTCCTTCTGTTTTTTCTCCCATCTTCTCTGGCCTCTTCGGGGCCTCCCAACTTTGACCCGCATCCTAAACGTGGGGATTTCGCAGGACTCTATCCCACATCTTCTCCCTGCGAAAGGGATGCGTGGCCCGATCTCCAGGGACTCTTGCTGAAGGCCTCTCTGTCTACCCCGCGGATGAGCGCCTCTCCTGGGCGTGAGGAACCTGTACCCACCCATGCTCTTAACCACTTCCCCCGCCCCCACACGAGCTAATGACATTTCTTCTTCTGTCCCTCAGCTCTGCCTGGAAATCCGCATCCGGAGGGGGCTACCTGTCTTTCCATAAGCCCCTCGAAAGCTTAATATGTGCTAGACAGACCTCCCGCTCTCCCCAGTCTGTTTATTTCCTGCGTCCCTATCCCAGGGACAGCCCCAGCATCCACCCAATTCTCACACGAGAAGCCCGGGCTTTCTCTCAGACGCCTCTCCCCACATTCAACTCTGCCGATCTGCCTCCTGAATATTTCTAGTATCTGTTTGTCCTCTCCACCCCCACGGATGCTGCTCCAGCCCAGTGTTTCTACATAGCTCTCCCTGCTCGTTGGCCCAGTTACTAATCTCCCTGCCTACATGTCCTCCTCCCGGGGTCCATCCCACACGCGGCAGCCTGAACAATCTTTTCAAAATGCATATTTTCGAATGTTACTCCCCTGCTTTAAATCCTTGCTGGCCTTTGGAAATGTTCCAGCTTAGTATTGAAAGCCTTTAAGAATTTGACTTCCGCCTACCCTGGAAGCCTCCCTCCCTCTCCTACCACTTTCTCCCTACGCCTGCCTTTCAAAAAACAGCACGCTATCCTCGTTGTTCCTAAAGCAGCGAGGCTCTTTCGGGTACCAGTGTCTTCGCCACGCTATCCTCTCACCCTGAAATAGCTCTCTTTACTTGGCATAGTCCTTATGCATCCACCAGAGCCCCTCGGATGTCATCGCTTTTGGGAAACCTTTTGGGCGTCCCTCACAACGTATTCCTCCCCCATTTGCTTCTTGTTTAACACAGCCCCCCCTCCCAGAATGCGACCTCTTTAAGGACAGGATCAGAATCTTGGTCAAATTTATTTCTGCATGGCCCTTGCACAGAATAAAGCTTTGTTGAACAAACGAATCCCTTCCTTGTCCCTCTCCCCGGGCAGGAAACGCAGTCCCTGGGAGGAAGGGCAGGCCGATGGAGAGCTAGGATCTTTGGACTCAGAGTTCGAAGGAGCCGTGAGCGATGCTTCAGGAGCCGAGACTTTCGAGTTCGACCGCAGGTAAAAAGGACGGGAAGGCGATCCGACTGGGTTCCATGGGGGGTGGGCAGGGGGAGGGGCGCGCGTCGGAGTCTTGATTCTCAGAGGACCCGAGAGGCCAAGCCTCGAGCTTAAGGAGAGCCGGGACTGGGAGGTGCGAAGGGCCTAGTTTCGGGTGGCGCGGAGGGCC